AGGGAAGGGGGAAGGGGGGAGGGAAGGGGGCAGGGAAGGGGGCAGGGAAGGGGGCAGGGAAGGGGGGAGGGAAGGGGGCAGGGAAGGGGGCAGGGAAGGGGGCAGGGAAGGGGGGAGGGAAGGGGGCAGGGAAGGGGGCAGGGAAGGGGGGAAGGGAAGGGACGAGGGGGGGGGGAAAGGGGGCCGGGGGCTGTATCAGGAATATTTACTGACCAGTGACGGCTTGAATAATCTTGGGGAAGGGCGGGGGGAATTATCTCATTCTCCTCCTGCCTTTCCTCCACGCCCTCCCTTTCTCTCTCACCCCTCACCCCTCAACACACATACACACACATGATACACACGCACGTGCCCCTTCCAGGCGCAAGGACGCCCCTGTGCAGCTGATTCACCTCCGAATGGGGCTCATTTTCAGTGCGGGTCAGGTCAAGTACTTCAGTTACTGGTAGGTGTCACGGTGCAAAGGGGAGGGGGGAAAAGGAGGACAAGGGGGGAGAGGGGGGAAAGGGGGGAGAGGGGGGAAAGGGGGGAGAGGGGGGAAAGGGGGGAAAAGACGAACCACGAGCGCGTGAAGCTGCTGCTAAGGAAGCATGCTGCGGCAGGTATACAGGAAGCACAACTGAGCAGTCGGCGGTAGTAAAGGAGCCGTCCTCGGGATGGATGATGTACTGGTGACGATATCGGAAAACTACCTACCTACCTAGCCGCCAAGACTAAAATATGAGCAGAAGAAGAGTGGTAGAGCGAAGCCGTAAAACAGGAACAGTAGGTGTTAAGGCGGCGAAAAAATAGAAACTGGCGTGAGAGGAAAAGCTGACGAAAGCTGGAATGAAGTTTGCCGCCGGCCTGGCGGCGGCATTGACGAGGTTGGGCTAAAGCTGGCTGGAAAGCTGGTTTTAAGTCAGCTGTGCTGGTGACATGCACATGCTCCTCCCAACCCTCCACCACGCGCCCGGCCCGACCGACCCAACTATCCTAGCCTAGCTACAGCCGACCTCCGCAACGCGATATACACCGATAAAGCTCTCGAATCTCCTCTCGGACTCACCTGGCCAGGCGGCAGAAGCAGCGGGCAAGGGCACACATGCGAGGAGGCAGAGAGGCGGCAAGGGTGTGAGCAGCGAACGATAAAGACAAGAACGCATGGGGGTGCCGCTGAAAGGGAGTATTTATCTGGCAGGATATTTATCTGGCAGGATAAGGGAGTATTTATCTGGCAGGCTGGGGAACCCTAAAGGGAATAAGAAGCCCTACGGAAGTTATTATGAGAGAAAGCGAGGGAGATAACACGGGGATTAAAAAGGAAACAAAAACGGTGCAGTACGACGCAGGAGGTGTCGTACTGGATGACGGCATTGACAAGGTGATGGCGCAATGGACAACGTGTACGCCGGCAGGAAGGGGAAATGGAAGACTGGGCTGGAAATAACGCATAAGAAAAGCCAAAGGAAAGACAGACGGTAGGAAAAAAGAAAAGAAGCGCATGTGTGTGTGGGGGGGTGGAAAGGCTGGACGATAAGGGGCTGACTAACCCCGGGGGTGTGCCGTAGGGGTTTCGGGGTTTTGGACGAGCGAGAGGGGCCGATGCGTTGGGGGGCCGCATATTCAGTGTAGGAAGCTTCCGGTGCCCATGCCCGCCTAAAACCCCAAAACCCTAAAACCCGTGTCCACGTCATGCTCAGGTACACTCGGTCGGTTTCATTGGTGGCGGAGGAGCGGGCGAGCGCGGTCTGGGTGCTCGGGGTTATTACCCCGCCGGTGCAGGTGGGGCTTGGGGGGTGAGGGGGAGGAGGGGGAGTCGTGTACGGGGGGGTGAGAAGGGGATTTGAAATTTTGGTATTGATTGGAGGGGGGTTGGGTTTTAGGGTTTGGGAATTAGCATTATTAAGGCGTTACAAATACACCTATAGTACAACATCGTCCGTTGCCCCTCTTTTCCCCATCCCTTCCCCCGGTCCATCCCTTCCCCGGTCAAAACACACATGCACACACGCAGATCTTTTCGCCAATCGACGGCAGTCCCACCCTGTTCGGTCTCACGGGTTCGTACATTGAGAAGTACAACGTAACCGCCACATCCATACCGTTTCTGACGCCGCCGCCGCTGCCGCCCGTGGATCTCTGGTCGGTGGGGGAACCCCCGGTGATGCCCGACTCCATTGGCTTTGTGTCGAGTGCGGCGGATTTGGTTTCGGAGCTGAGCGTGCCCTGGACCGGCCCACGGGTCATTGTGCTGCTGGCTAACATTACGTTGGACAAGACCGAATGGCCCAAGGTAAAAACATGTAAAATATAAATAAATATACGTCAAAATATATATTGTAAAATATTTGAATTTCTAGGATATATATATGAATATATATATGTGTGTGTGTGTGCAAACATATTTTTGCAAACCCCCCTCCCGCGCCGCCTGGCCGCCCCTCCGGCACCTCAGGAGGGTTTTCAGATGGCCGCGGGTCTAACCTTGTCCGGCCCGTCCGTGGCGGCTTCCATCATTGAGGGCCCTCGTACGACACTCAATGCGGGGGGGATGAACGTGGCCCGCGCTCCCCCCGGCATGACCGTGTCATTCCGGAATCTCAGGGTTTTCAACGCGTCGGTTCCAATTAGTTGGGCGCTGCCGCAGGCGCCGTCGTCGCTGCCGGGTTTTCCGGGTTACGACTTGTGGCGTGCACGGTAAGGAGGGCGGGAGAAGGGAAAGAGGGGGTGGGGGGGAAAGAAGGGGTTGTGCGGATGGAAGATGGCGTGTGCATGTGTCTGCGTGTGCGTGGGGCGCAGTGTTGGGGGGATTTGACGTGCGCTTCCCTCGACACGTCTTTTCAACTGGGGAGCTTCCACAAACCCATCTCATTGCCTGACCTGCTTTCCTCCTTTTCCCTCCTCCTTCCCCTTCCCCTCCCCCTCCCCCTCCCCCTCCCCCTTTTCTGTGGCTCCCAGGTGCCTGCCGGATTTGATGGACGACTCGGCTTTCAAGCTGGAGATGCACGGCTGTCAGGTGGAGGTTCCTGAACGTGAGTGTATGTACGTATACATGTATGTGTGTCGGGGGAAAGGCTTGGGGTTGGGGGGTCGGGTCGGGTCGGGGGGAGAAGGGGAAAACGGGATTTGTGCGGGATTTGTGGGAGGGTTGGCCTGCACTGGCGTTTTTGGTGATAGTACTTACTGGTAATTCCATCCTGTTTGCGGGGAGGGGGGGTGGGGGGGAAAGACGAACCACGAACGAGTGAAGCTGCTGCCCCAGGGCAAGAGTGTACCAGGCGTATAGAACTGACCACCTGGGGTGGGGGAGGGGGGTGCGTGTCAGGGGCCGCGGAAGGGGCCGTGGGAAATGATAGAAGTTCTAAAATGCGCTGATGGGAGGGAAGTGACGACGTGGCCGTCTCTGGAATAGGGGATGGTTCAACGTTCATGCTGTCATAGTAGTTAGGGGCTTGGGTGTGGTTTTGGTCTTGTGCTTTGCCGTTGACAACTCCTAACCCTCGCTTTTTTCACCTCCTCCCTCCCTCCACTTGCACCGGCAGTGTCTCGTGCGTGTCCCCTCTTGATTTGTGTTCCCTTCCCCCCTTTCCCTGCACCCTTTCCCTCCCCCCCCGGGGGCGCTTAGTCGTATTTGTGCTATTGCAGATGTACAACAACCTGCAACCGTGCAGTCCAACTGCTACTGCCGCCGCCGCCGCGGACCTCGGGAAGAACTGCACTGCGGTCACTGGCGCGGCCGTGCGGCTTTCATCTCTACAAACCCAGCTCGGCAATTTATTTGAGCGCCTTTTTCGCGCAACGGGCAAATTCACGGTTAGTGTGGGGGGTGAAATGAACAAGTGATATCGATTAATAGTTACCAAGTTAATATGAGAAAAAAGAACCTTTAAAAAAGCCAGGAAATGCACACATGCAAAGTGTACATGATACGTTATGATGAGAAATGCACGTACTGGTATGTTTATATTGAGCGTACCCACAAACAAACACTGCACATGTCCTTGAAATAAACCTATTATGAGCTCTCGGATGCACTGCCCCTCCGGTCGGCGGGCGATAGCCACCACGTGCGTGCCGACTGCTCTGCAAATGCGGATTGCGGAGTGTGGAGTGTTGTATGTATGTTGTTACAGGGTGGTTAACTTCGCCAGCGGCCCCCTGTTGTATGTATGTATGTATGTATGTATGTATGACTTAGATTACACTGTGTGCCGTGAGAGCCGGGGGCCGAAGCCGAAACACAGCGCAAGGGTCGGGAGCACACAGCACAAGTCGGCTAGTCTTGTGTGCTCCCGGCCCTGACCCAGACTGCCAACACACTCCGCAGCCACTCCACAGCCACTCCATCCGGGGATGGCGCTGTATTGAATACACCACGAAGGGCTCTCAGGTCCCGCTAGAGCGAGTCCACAAGTCTAAGCTAGGGATGTATGTATGTATGACGTTGATTACACTGTCGGCTGAATAGCCGGGGGCCCAGGGCCGAAACACAGCGCGGGGGGTATGTATGTATGTATGTATGTATGTATGTATGTATGTATGTATGTATGTATGTATGTATGTATGTATGTATGTATGTATGTATGTATGACTTAGATTACACTGTGGGCCGCGAGAGCCGGGGGCCGAAGCCGAAACACAGCGCAAGGGTCGGGAGCACACAGCACAAGTCGGTTAGTCTTGTGTGCTCCCGACCCCGACTCAGACTGCCAACACTCTACGCAGCCACTCCGCAGCCCCTCCATCCGGGGATGGCGCTGCATTGAATACACCACGAAGGGCTCTCAGGTCTCGCTACAGTGAGTCCACAAGTCTCAGCTAGGGCAAGGCAAAGGCTCTCTGAAACAGCCCCCCAAAATACCACCAACGAAAACGGGATTCGAAGGGAATACAAACAAACAAACAAAAATTCGGTTAGGGCAGTCCCGGCAGGGGAGGGCTCCTGATATACCTAACAGGCCAACAAAAAACCTCCAAGAGAGAAAGGCTAAGAGAGCTCGACACCACAAGACGTCTTGCAACCACCTTAAAACAACTGACCTCCACCACCTGTCCCTTCCTGGGCTGGTCCAGGGGAGAAGTAGCCTTATAAAGAAAAGGGATCCCGCACAAGCCTGATCACCACTGCAGGGGCCCGGGATAGTCCGGCGAAACCACAAAAGCGTTAGCGTTGCCACGACACACAGCTCCTAGACCCTCCAGAAAACCGCAGGGGAGGATTGTAGCCCGCGCGGCGCCTCCTCCTTACCGCCACTAACCTGAACGGTTGGTCCTCCGGAAACCTATTCACCCTGTCTCGTACTACACCGCTCTCACCCTCGTCCCTCACCAAGCAACCCAGTCCCACAGAGAAGACGTGTCTAAATAGAATGGCCCTCCTCGGGCCACATCTCCCCCTCATCCGAGCCCCGCTACCACCACCAGACCTCAACCTCCCAAACACCAGAAAACCTACGTCCTTTTGGCGCTCTCACCGCCATCTCCCCCCTCCCCTGTCCGAGCGACCCCACCTCCCCCCGGCTCTCCAGCACCCTACAACCTCAGAGCGGCACTAGGGAAGAAAAAGGGTTCTTCCCTGCACGACGTGACCGCCTCCATTCCCCGTCCTTCTCCTCTCCCTCTCCCGTCTCGGGGTTCCCTCTCACCTATTCCCTCGTCCTCCAACCCCCATCCCCTTCGAACTCCTATACCCCCCCGAGCCCTGCCCTACAAACTAAGCTGAAAGCGCTCTTAGGCAATAATCTACACCGCTTCGGCGCACCGCAGTGCGCCTTCTGAAACCGACAGGATCGGGTGGTCGGGTCCCACCCTGTCCCAGCCTCTCCGCGGGGTGCCCAGCGCCGTG